AAACCATTGGTTTTTTGATGTTTTTATGTTAAAATCGCTACGAAAACTAAGGTTTTGGAAGGATTTCGTCTTGCGCGCGCGAATGTCCACTTTACCTTATTTTTTGCAAGGGATTCTTGAAGTTTGGTTATGTTAGAACAAGAAATGTCCACTTTAGCTTATTTTTTGCAAGGGAAAACCAATCGTAACAACACAACCGGATCCGGACCAACCCGTTTTGCCTGAGACTTCCTCACGAAAATGATGAAAATGAGCTGCGGCCTAGGCGCGGCGGGGGGGTCGTGCACCAGGGGCCCAACAATAATTATTCTTTAGAAGTAATAATGTTCAACAACAACAACAACAACAACAACAACAACAACAACAACAACAACAACAACAATTACTAGCACGTGGGGACACTCCGTTCTCACCAGTGCCAGGGTTTTCATAGGAGGCGGGCAATACCCCCACTTTGTGGGGGGGCCGGTTCAAGCTCTACCAAATTTCCAAACGACTCTTCGCCACCACCCACACCCAGCTTCCCGCCCTATGACGTTCGGACACTTCACTTCGTGGCATGCGGACGACCGTGGCTACTATTCAGGGCCCCGCGGCCGACGACGACGGCGTGCGCGCGCGAAGAAAAAACGAATGTGTCCCGCATGGTATTATTTGACAGGGATGATGGCCCTGGCAGGTGCGCAACCGTTGTCGCAGAAGTTCGAAAAAGTTGCTCGCAAAAGCCCGTTTGACAGAAATGTTTAAAAAGTGTTGGGTTTCCTACGAATCCGCAAGAGCGCGCGGGATGAGATTTTGACATTTTTTTTGTTGAAAAACCATTGGTTTTTTGATGTTTTTATGTTAAAATCGCTCCGAACACTAAGCTTTTGGAAGGATTTCGTCTTGCGCGCGCGAATGTCCACTTTACCTTATTTTTTGCAAGGGATTCTTGAAATTTGATTATATTAGAACAAGAAATGTCATTTTATAGTGTTTTTTGCAAGGGAAAACGGATTACAACAAAACAACCGGATCTGGATCACATCGAATTACCTGAGGCTTCCTCACGAAAATGATGAAAATGTGGCTGCGGCCTAGGCGCGGCGGGGGGGGCGTGCACCAGGGGGCCCAACAATAATTATTCTTTAGAATTAATAATGTTCAACAACAACAATTACTAGCACGTGGGGACACTCCGTTCTCACCAGTGCCAGGGTTTTCATAGGAGGCGGGCAATACCCCCACTTTGTGGGGGGGCCGGTTCAAGCTCTACCAAATTTCCAAACGACTCTTCGCCACCACCCACACCCAGCTTCCCGCCCTATGACGTTCGGACACTTCACTTCGTGGCATGCGGACGACCGTGGCTACTATTCAGGGCCCCGCGGCCGACGACGACGGCGTGCGCGCGCGAAGAAAAAACGAATGTGTCCCGCATGGTATTATTTGACAGGGATGATGGCCCTGGCAGGTGCGCAACCGTTGTCGCAGAAGTTCGAAAAAGTTGCTCGCAAAAGCCCGTTTGACAGAAATGTTTAAAAAGTGTTGGGTTTCCTACGAATCCGCAAGAGCGCGCGGGATGAGATTTTGACATTTTTTTGTTGAAAAACCATTGGTTTTTTGATGTTTTTATGTTAAAATCGCTCCGAACACTAAGCTTTTGGAAGGATTTCGTCTTGCGCGCGCGAATGTCCACTTTACCTTATTTTTTGCAAGGGATTCTTGAAATTTGATTATATTAGAACAAGAAATGTCATTTTATAGTGTTTTTTGCAAGGGAAAACGGATTACAACAAAACAACCGGATCTGGATCACATCGTTTTACCTGAGGCTTCCTCACGAAAATGATGAAAATGTAGCTGCGGCCTAGGCGGCGCAGGGGGGGCGTGCACCAGGGGGCCCAACAATAATTATTCTTTAGAAGTAATAATATTCAACAACAACAACAACAACAACAACAACAACAACAACAACGACAACAATTACTAGCACGTGGGGACACTCCGTTCTCACCAGTGCCAGGGTTTTCATAGGAGGCGGGCAATACCCCCACTTTGTGGGGGGGCCGGTTCAAGCTCTACCAAATTTCCAAACGACTCTTCGCCACCACCCACACCCAGCTTCCCGCCCTATGACGTTCGGACACTTCACTTCGTGGCATGCGGACGACCGTGGCTACTATTCAGGGCCCCGCGGCCGACGACGACGGCGTGCGCGCGCGAAGAAAAAACGAATGTGTCCCGCATGGTATTATTTGACAGGGATGATGGCCCTGGCAGGTGCGCAACCGTTGTTGCAGAAGTTCGAAAAAGTTGCTCGCAAAAGCCCGTTTGACAGAAATGTTTAAAAAGTGTTGGGTTTCCTACGAATCCGCAAGAGCGCGCGGGATGAATTTTGACATTTTTTTGTTGAAAAACCATTGGTTTTTTGATGTTTTTATGTTAAAATCGCTACGAAAACTAAGGTTTTGGAAGGATTTCGTCTTGCGCGCGCGAATGTCCACTTTACCTTATTTTTTGCAAGGGATTCTTGAAGTTTGGTTATGTTAGAACAAGAAATGTCCACTTTAGCTTATTTTTTGCAAGGGAAAACCGATCGTAACAACACAACCGGATCCGGACCAACCCGTTTTGCCTGAGACTTCCTCACGAAAATGATGAAAATGAGGCTGCGGCCTAGGCGCGGCGGGGGGGTCGCGCACCAGGGGCCCCAACAATAATTATTCTTTAGAAGTAATAATGTTCAACAACAACAACAACAACAACAACAACAACAACAACAACAACAATCATTTTACCCGAACGCTCAGTGTTCTCACCAGTGCCAGGGTTTTCATGCGACGCGAGACAATACCCCCACTTCGTGGGGGGGCAGTTCAAGCTCTACCAAATATCCAAACGACTCTTCGCGACCACCCAAACCCAGCTTCCCGCCCTATGACGTTGGGACACTTCACTTCGTGGCGTGCGGACGACCGTGGCTACTACACTGGCGTGGGGTACACACCCACAGAACTTGGTCACTTATTCGGGGCGCGCGTGTGCCCAGCATCCTGCAATTGTGACATACAATACATGACACAGACAGACAGAGAGAGAGACAGAGAGCAGACAGAGAGAGAGACAGAGAGAGCGGAGTTGGTCACATTTTTGGGGCAAGTTCCTGAGATCGTCGTGTTTTTTGTTGGTCTTGCGCGCGCGAATGTCCACTTTACTTTTTTTTGCAAGGGATGTTGAAATTTGATTATGTAAGAACAAGAAAAAGTAGCTCGCGCGAGCTTATGTAACATAAATGTTGAAAAACCATTGGTTTTGTGGGAGTCGGACAGCGCGCGCGGGATGAAATTTGGACATTTTTTTTTGAAAAACCATTGGCTTTTTGATGTTTTTATGTTGAAATCGTTACGAAACCTAAGGTTCTGGAAGGATTTCGTCTTGCGCGCGCGAATGTCCACTTTACCTTATTTTTTGCAAGGGATTATTGAAATTTGATTATGTTAGAACAAGAAAAAGTAGCTCGCGCGAGCTCATGTAACATAAATGTTGAAAAACCATTGGTTTTGTAGGATTCGTACAGCGCGCGCGGAAGGACATTTTGACAATTTTTTGGTTGAAAAACCATTGGTTTTTTGATGTTTTTATGTTAAAATCGCTCCGAACACTAAGCTTTTGGAAGGATTTCGTCTTGCGCGCGCGAATGTCCACTTTACCTTATTTTTTGCAAGGGATTCTTGAAATTTGATTATATGAGAACAAGAAATGTCATTTTATAGTGTTTTTTGCAAGGGAAAACGGATTACAACAAAACAACCGGATCCGGTACCAATCGTTTTGCCTGAGACTTCCTCACGAAAACGATGAAAATGTGGCTGCGGCCTAGGCGCGGCGGGGGGGTCGTGCACCAGGGGTCCCAACAATAATTATTCTTAAGAAGAAATAATGTTCAACAACAACAACAACAACAAAAATGTTCCATGATCACGACCGCAGTGCACGAGCAAGCACATGGTGCCCGTCCGGGGGCACTGAGCATGATATCCGCGCAGCACATGGTGCCCGTCCGGGGGCACTGAAAACAACAAAAAATTGCAAAACCAGCGAGGACGGCGACGACGAAGAATACCAGACAAAAGAAACAGGGGGGCACAGGCAATACCTAGCGCCTGGCTCCTGCTGTCTATCCGCTGTCGTGAGGCTTCCCGACGCTGGAGCTAACCTTCCTTACGCCATGCCCAAAGGAGTGCACCACGGTGGCAGAAAAGTCCTCCGTAAGGGCATATTGGAGAATGATTCGAGTGCCTTGAGCGGCGGGCCAAGCAAAAAAACGATCCTGTACCCTTGATCAGGTGTATCTGCCGTAGCGCTGGACAACACTACCCATTGCGAAACCCTCGTGGACATGTTTGACCCCCTTCTGAAGGAGAGGATGGAAAGAAATGGAAAGACGGAGGGGAGCGATGGCACCAAGATGACAACGAAGAGGCAAGAGCCGTCAAGTCACATCGAAACTGGAAATCGAATCGAAATGTGCGCCGAATCATGCTGCATAGGCACTGAGTCGAAATCGAATCAGATCGGCTGCACAAAGATCCACAACAGCACCATGGAAGAGCATCGGGCCGCAGTCGGAAAATCAAAGCCGATTCAGGAAGGGGCCTATCGGATCGAAGCGGACCCCGAAGAAGCGGGAAAGAAGGAGCGGAGCCATAACTCGAAGAGGAAGAAACTGCACAGGCATAAACTTTCTGAGCTCCGCGCGGATATCTTGGATCTGCGCGTAACCCCCCACGGGGTCCCCAGAAGTCCCCAGTCCAGACCCTTTCCTCAGGGCCGGTTTTCATCCCGAGCCGATTTTTGACGGTCACCAGGCCCAGAGAGAGCCCCGTGAGGCCGAAAATAACGAAAAACATCCCGAAGCGTTGTTTCACGCGATCACGTCTGGGTGGGCCCTGAAGGAGTAGCGAAGAAGGAGCGGCGCGATGACAACGAGAGGGCAGCGAAGAGGCAGACCACGGAGCCTTGGGCCGAGAGCCTCCGCGCGGAGCCCCGGGCGACGTCCGCCGCCATATTCCCGCAAAGTTTGCACCTGCAGAGTCCAGACACTTGGCGACGCGCACAAGGGGGTAGGGGAAGGGGGGAGGCTTCTTAGAAGGAGGCCGCTTCTCAGAAGGCGCTGGCCTTACATCCACTAGATACGGCCCGCGCCTTCTAAGAAACAGGGGTGCTTCGAGGAACCCTTCCCCACTCCCCATACCCCCTCTGCGCGTGGCCGAGACACGCGCTGTCAAGCGCGCACGGCGCACACCGCAGGCATCGCTGGCATCCTTACCTCACTGTATCCTTACCTACGCCACTCTCCCAAGCAGCTCTCATAGGCTCCGTTTCTGGAAAGGCCAATGGGGATACTTTTTGGTACGCCGGCGCGCGAAACATTCGAACGCCGGGCATGCAGGGGCAGGCTGTGCCACCGGCCAGTGGGGATACTTTTAGGTCCGCAGGCGCGCGAAGACGAGTCGAACGCCGAGCGTGCTAGGGCGGGCCGCGCTCCGTAGCAAAGCGAAAAGCAGTGAAGCGAGCGGCGGCAGGCGGAAGGGAAGTACAGCAGGCCAGTGGGGATGCTTTTTTGGTCGCGGCCGCGAGCGAAGAGGCAGGCGGCGAAAGCAAAGTCCGCGGCGCGAACGAGGCTAATTAGCTACAACAGGCACAGGCCGGCCGGCCCACTCACAAAGCAGCCGCGAAGCTGAAGGGGAGCTGACGGCGGGGGGCATCCTGTTTGTCAAAAGTATGCGCCTGCGGCGGGCTTCCTCTGAGCCCCGCAGATTGCCAACGTCCCCGCCGCCCCCTCACTCTCATCCGCATCTACGGGCTGCTACGTGTGTGTATATATATAGGGGCCGAGAGGTCATTCAGTGTCCCTGGGTGCGTAACTGCAGCGTAGTTCCGCTATGCGGATTAGTATCATTGTTATGATTCGTATCATTATTATGATGCTGATGCTGATGCTGATGATGATGATGATGATTATTATTGTTATTCTTTGAACTATTAGCATTCGTATTATTAGGAATCGCATTCTTCCTGTTGGAGCTCGAGCACGTGCACAGGACAAAGTGTCATGGAATTCGGTGCCTGCCATGGCACGACCAACCAGTGGGGATGCGCGAAGCGTCAAGAATTCGCACCTGCAGCGTCCACACACGCAGCTAAGAGCGCACGGCGCACACCGCACTGCTGACGCTCACATCGTGCGCCTACGGACGCGCCGTGTACCTCGGCGGCGCGCCGCGGGGGCAACCGAGAGAGGCAGGCTTTGGGGGAGTTTTTCTCACCTCGGCATGGTTCCCAGCAGCTTCGCCTCGTCGAGAGGTTACCTGGCGTGCCCCCATCGCCCCGAACGGCCGCCAGAGTCACGAGCTATGGCCCTAAACTCACCCGGAAGGGAAACTGGCGGATCGGCGCCGCGCGGAAGGGGGAAGCGAGAGGGGGCAGGCCTCCAGAAGGAGAGGGGGCGTCGGAGAAGGTTCAGGAAGCTTCTCGGAAGGCCGATGCCCGTCTGAGCCTTCCGAAAGTCGACGATCCTCAGAACGCGTATTAACCCCAACATGAGTTTGTCCATCGAGGCCCTTGGATACGACGCAGGCGATGTAATGATCTACTGGTTGGGCTGAAGGGGGGAAACACACATTGAGCTAACACACGTCCTGAAGATCCTCGAGAAAGGTCCCACCCCCTCTACCTTTCCAGCCTGGGCGCGCCGCCGGGCGAGCGCACAGCACACACCGCACTGCAGCCGCGCAAGCGTGCGCTCATGGAAGCGCCCTGAGAGCGACAAAACAACTAGTCCACTGACTTGTACTCGGCACCTCTCCCTTCCGTGCGCGGCAAAATGGCCCACGTGCCCTTCCAAGCATGGAAGTTCAAAATGCGCCGGTGTTCAATCAAGCATGCCACTGCCTCCTCCTCCTCCTCCTCCTCCTCCTCAACCTCCTCCCCGCATACAAACGACGAACTAACGGCATAAACATCAACTTTCGGAGCTCGGCGCGGAGTTCTTGGATCCGCGCTGGGCCCTCCCTCCCTGGGGCGAGGGGCGCGCAACGGGCGGCGCCAGAAGCGCCGCCAGGGTGGGCCCTACCGCCGATCCAAAAAATCCGCGCGCACCTTCGGAAGTTCATGCTCGAGCCGCCCTCTCTTCTTCGAGCCAATCGAGCAAGCCGCTGCCCACTCCTCCCCGCATGCAGCCGAAGCTGGCGGCCTGGGGGAGGCTCAAGCGCGGGGTGGCCCGCGCCCTGCCTCGGCCGCGCGCGCGGCTCCGGCTCGACAGGGCCGCCGGATCAAAACGACGTGTTGTGCGGCCCGCGGCCGCGTGCCGAAATCCACAGGGGAGGATGCGACTTTGACGAGCCCCGTGCAGCAACAAGCAAGCAAGCAAGGCCCAGTCGAATCGAATCGGTCCGCAAGCGGACGTGGGCAGAGAACAATTCCTCAATCAGAGCTTGCCTGTGCAGGGGTCCTAGCGGATTCATAAGGTTAGGTGAGGTGCGTCGGGAATTTTCCTGGGTGCCAGGGTGCCCAGGTGCCCGGGGTGCCCGGAGTGCGTCGGGAATTTTCCCCGGTGCCCGGGTGCCAGGGTGCCCAGGTGCCTTATAGCCCTATAGCCCTTTAGCCCTATAGCCCCAAACCCCAATAGCCCTATAGCCCTATAGCCCAATAGCCCAATAGCCCTATAGCCCTATAGCCCTATAACCTTATAGGCCTATAGGCCTATAGCCCTATAGCCCTATAGCCCTATAGCCTATTAGCCTTATAACCCTAGAGTCCTATAGCCCGATTGCCCTATAGCCCCATAGCCGTATAGCCCTATAGTCGTATAGCCCTATCGCCCTATAACCTTATAGCCCTATAGCCCTATAGCCCTGTAGCCATATAGCGTTTCTAGCGTTATAGCCCTATAGCCTTAAAGCCCTATAGCTCTATATGCCTATAGCCCTATAGCCCAATAGCCCTTAAAGCCCCCAAAAAATGATTCGGGATTTTCTCCGGTATCATAAATTCGCGTGGACGATGCCAAAAAAAGCATGCATAGTTGACTTCAGACGTCTTGGGCGTAGCCCCGCGCAGCAACGATGAGGAAAAACTTGGAAGTAGAGGTCGCAGGATTTTTTGTCACAGCGGTTTGGCACCAACCTGCGTTCGAGGCAACCGAAGAAAGTTGCGGTGCCTCAGCGGGCACAAACAAGAGCGGGAAGAGCGCGAGGGAGGGCGATGAAGCCACGGGCGGCCGAGCACGCTCAGAGCTTGAAGTTGGGCAACGGAGAGATCGAGGGACACGAAGCTGCAACAAAAAAAAATATACTCGGAGTCAAGCGCGGACTTCTTGGATCCGCGGTGGACCCCCCTGACGGCGCCACAGGCGCTGCCCCTGGCGCGCTCCGCGCTCCAGCGAGGGGGGGCCCAGAGCCGATGCAAAAAATCTGCGCGGAACTCCGACATTTTCTGTTTGTGATGGCGTCTGTTCCTCGACTGATGGTACTGAACTAATCGACGCGCATGGAACGTAACGCTGCTCTCGCTCACAGGCGGAGGGGGAAGTGAAGGCGCGACGGTGAATAAACGGCTGCGCAAGAAAACCTGCGCCAGAAACGAAGAAAAAGTGTGCCGCCGCATTGCTGCCGGGGACACCACAAGCTGAGTCCGCCCCCATTTCTGACCACGCATCCTTCCCAGGGCCCGCTAAATTGAGGTAAAAGGGAAATGCGGGTGGTTCCCAAACTTCCGATACTCGAAATTCCTCAACACGTAAGCAAACAGCACCAAATGGGAAACCATATTTTGGATTATGTGGACGGCGTCCTTCCCTCGTGCATGTCCATCCTTTCGCGGATCATCCAACACACACACACACACACACACACACACACCTGGTTTGCCATGGCCACGAAGGATGTATCTAGCAACGCTCACAACTTGACGCGACACCGCAGCACTCGTGACAATTACGATCAAAAATGCACTCACAAGCAAAAACACGATCGCATCAACGCTGAGGTGGGCCATGTCTGTTTTCACCCCGCTGAAGGAAGCCATCAACAGGAATATGAGTGTCAATACGACGTACAGATACACCATGCTCGCGTCAGCGGGCCGCTGGGGCTACTCAACCAGCGGCGGATACCTACGCAATCTGGAAATAATACGATAAACTGCCGCGGTGCCACATCTCCCGAATGAACGCGACGCGGAAGCCTCACGCAGACCTAAACGGTATCAGAGCACCAGGGTGCAATGAGCACAATGTAATGCAGTGAATACGACGGAGTACGGAATGCCAGCTTGGAATTTGCAGGGGCAGCAGGCGACAGGGGGGAAGCGCCCTGCCACTCCCAGTTGTCACAGGGTCCTGACCTTCCGTCGGCGAAAACCAACGAAGGCAACATGCACCAAGACGCATAAGATAGGACATCCCAGCGGACGCGCGAATTTGCCGAAACGCTTGCCGCTTTGTACGCGGGGCGTGGGTTAACGCGGCCCGTGCCAGCGTGCCACAGGCCCTGTGGGGCGCGCTCGAACGCCAGACGTGGGTCTGGCAAGACATACAAAGAGTTCTGCCGATCCATCGGTCTATTAGGCATATGCTTATTGATGTTGAATGCTTGTTCTTCTTCTTCACGCAGCTCAAGAGAGGTGGGCATGCTCTGGCGACCCGATGAGTCCATGGCCAACAAGGTCCGTCAAGCGAACTTACTCTAGGCAGCGCACGCGCGTGCCAGCATGAGCGCTGGCCGGCCGATAGGGAGCGAGGCCGCGCGCGCGCTCCTTGTGCCTTGGGCAAGCAGTTGGCTGCGGAATCAGTCTCTCAGCATCAGTCCTCAGCCCTGCCGACGCCACGCTGAGGAAAGCGGGCAGGGCAGCAGAGAAGGGCGAGGGGGCGATAACGCGGCCTCCCGGCGAGACATCGTCGCGCCAGGGCGGGCGCCAGCACATTGGCTACCACCCCGAACAGAAGAGGCGGGACGTGCTTCACAGCCTTCGGCAGGTCCGGAGGGCAAGGGGCAGCCTTCACCCCT